GAGTCCCATCTACAGACCATAGAAGCTTTTACGGGTAGTAGATGGAAACTGGAGAAAGTGTAAAAATAAGTTTCAAAAATCAAATACAATACCCCTTTTTCGCTAGGACGATCCGTTAACCTTTGTACGAGTCATATCTTGGTCTTGTATGTCATTTCCAAGTTTAGTCAAATTTTAAGGGGTGAAGTTTGTTTCTACGGTTGGCATGTACAGACGGTAGGAAGACATATGAGCCATACAAGGGTTCCATCGAAAGTTGGTCCAAATAAAAGTGTTTGAACTCTATCTATGATTGACTAGTACGGTTCATAGAATGACCTATAGATCGTAATCCAAACCATAGGTGAGGCTAGATAGTTATTTTAAAATGTATTTTGGGTCTTTTCCTAATTGGTTTAACCCAATACTATGTCATCTACCTTCTACCCTAAGCCCTATATAAACGTTTTAAGCCCTTAAATTACCCGTTTCCACTCATTCTCCTAAATTTTTGAAACTTGACCAAATTCACTCTCCAAATTGTCTCAAGTCTAAGGAAAAAGAAGAGGAGCTAGGTGTTCCAATCAAGTTTGGAAATTCTCCATTTTCTTGGGCTTAAAGGATCAAGGTATGTGTGTATTAACCCATGGAGTCCTTTCCTCCATGGGTTCCCAAGGATTTCAATTGCTCAAATTAGGGTTTCAATTCAATGAATGAGGTTTAATCTAATAATGATTTATTATGATTACTTAAGTCTTCTAATGCATGAATTTGTTTTAATCGATGATATTTGGTTGAAGTTTTATTGACCCATTTTAAATTATGTTTTCCAATCATGATCTTATGATGAACTCATGAACTGTGAATTATGAATTTTGAAGATATGCATATTTTTATGAAATGATTATAAATGATTTGGGGATGCTTTGAAAGGAAAGTCTCAAGGATATTATGAAAGGATTTCTCACTTACTATGATGATCATGATTTTTAAAGGTATTTCTCATAAATGAATTCACATTGGTGAAATGTTTTCTCATATATGTTGAATTATGTTTAAGGAGCTATTCTATGTTTTGATTTAAAATATGCAGATTGGTATTGATCATTGTCGTTCCTATGTTAAATTAATATTTGACTTTTATCTATTCCATTAGGATTTATACTTAGCACCGAGAGGGCTTTGAGGTGGAGGCACAAATCTAGTAGTCTCTAGTATAAACCATTAGTCCCTAACTACGTGCCCCTATAGGATTGTCTTAAATGACCTAGATAGTGGATCCACTTTAGAAAATCATGATATGTACGGATTTTACCTTGGCAAGTAGTTTCCCTTTCTTTCGATATAAGGGATATACTAGATTCCATGATATAATTCCCATGGTCTTATGTTGATTAAAGCTAATATCCCACAAAATGATTATGTCTTATTCAAAGTTCCTTTTATGTCCTTTATCTTAATGTACTTGACTGTGTTCTTATCATTTTCATGTCATTTCTTCTTTAAAGCTTTCAAATGTTTTGATATGATCATACCTACTCATTTCTAAGTCATTTATCCTATCATGCCTATGTTTATGCATATTGCCTCTTACTTAGTACATTTCATCTACTAATGCATTCGTGTGCCTACATTATCTAATGAATGTAGGGTCTGATGTTCCTACCTCTCACAATCGTGGCTAGACTTCCATTGGGTGCTTCAAGTTATTGGTGAGTCCTCATATTCCGAGAATTGAGACACTTTATAGCTTTATGTATTTTTGTTTCAGACATTGTATGTGATGCATGAGTTACGTCCAATTACTTTCTTTATGATTAATTAGATGGCTTTGAGACCTATGTTAGACTTCTGCTTTTATCAAACTCTTTTGTATGAAATGTTATCTTTTAATTTCCTTACTTCTATTATCTTGTATGATGTATGCTAAGTGGCTTGTGTAGGGTCTCTCAGGATCTATACGCAATATTACGCCTAGGGTATATCTTGGGTCATGACAAATTATGTATTCACATCATAAGGTTTAGAAATGTCCTGGTATGTATCATAAGGCACATTGAGTAGAGTCTTGTTCATGAGTGTGAAGCGCACCACATTTATGATTAAGAGGTTATAATATGTTTAGGAAATTCCACTTCTTTCATCATTCTAAAGTCGTGCGATAGAGTCTAACTCTATATGTTTCACTACAAGAAAAAGGTTCAGTTAAGACCAACATGTAGGGACGAGTTAATAATCCCATCACAAAAAGTATATATTTTGAGACAAGATTATATTTCGGTCCTAAAAGTTATATGTTATTGAGAAGGTAAAAAATCTCGTCCCTAAGAAAACTAATGACTCGTCCCAATTGTAATTGAGAGACTTAGCGGGAGCGCCAAAACATTGCTAAAAAATTTACTAAAACCCAAAAAATAATAATTCTGAAAAGTAGGCAGCAAAAAGAAATATTTTTTTCTAAAAATCCAAAAAATATCGTTTTTCTCTCAAAATCCATTGGTCACAACATTGCCCTATCAAGCCCAAAAGTGTCTCTTTTTCATCTCGATCAACGTATGAGCTAGGGCTATTCACCTCTGCCTCAAATCCTCTGAACTATTCTCAGCAGCAAAACGTTCTCTCAACTGCGAATCTAAGGTATGGTGTCTCTTCTTCTTCCTGTTTACTGATGATCATTCGCTCAACTCAACAAAAGTGTCTCTTTTTCAGCTTGGTTAACAACGACCTAGAGTTATTCAGCTCTGCCTCAAATCCTCTGTACGTATTCTCAGCAGCAACATATTTTTTTTCTTTTTCACAACTGCGAATTTAAAGTATGCTGTCTCTTCTTCTTCTTCTTCCTGTTTACTGATCTTTTGCTCAACTCAACAGAAGCGTCTCTTTTTCATCTTGATCAACAGCGACCTACAGTTATTAGGCTCTGCCTCAAATCCTCTGTAAGTATTTGCAGTAGCAACTTCTTTGTTTCCTTCTCTCAACTACAAATTTTGAGTATGATGTATCTTCCTCTTCGTCTTGTTTACTAATCTGTCGCTCAACTTTTGCCCTATTATCTTGTTTTATTGAGTCTAGATTCTAATTGAAAGTTTAATTGTTTTTGAAGTGTATTCATGTTTGTAGTATATTGTGTGTTCAAAGAATCACATTACCCATAATATAAAAACATTTTCAGAAAAATAACTAGGAGGACACCCTTCCTCTATTCTTCTCTGTTTCATGATTCCCCTCTTCAATGGACACCAAAGATTCTTTACAATGAGTCTTGATTGACTTGTAATAACAAACATGATTATTTTCTATATACTACAAGTTAAGTAATCGCTTTCTTTCATAAATGTATTACGAATCGTGAATCGGCAAATATTTTAACATCACTGATTCACTTGTATTTGAAGTCTTTAACCAGTGAATTAAATATAGAGAGCACTAAACTTTATTTCAATGATTGACAAGTAAATAGTTATTTTGGTCATTAACCTGATTGTCTTAACCAACGAATCATGCTTAAGTCTTAACATGTTTGATCTAATGAATCATCTGATCATATAGAGCATACAAAATTTTCAGAAAAAGAAACTGCACTTTGTCTCTTATCCTAGGAGGTGTTCTCACACAAGCAACATAGGTTGTCTCCTTCGCAATGTCCTCCCATGTTCTTCTTCTTCCTTCTTCTCTTCTTCTCTCCTTCTCTCCTTCATGATTTCCCTTCTTTAATGGACAAAACAGACCCTTGTATAAATGGGTATATGAGTCTTGATGGGTTAGTTGTTGACTGTACAACATGAAGATTCTTTATATTGGAGTCTTGATCGAGTTAAGTAATTGTCATCTTTTATTAATGTCCTACAAGTCATTAATCTACACAACTGTTAACATACTATTTACTTGACTTTGGAGTCTTTGAACAATTAACTAAAGATAGTGATCAACAAATAAGTTAATTTGAATGGCCATTTATGTCATGTCTAGTCAACAAGCAACTATTGGCTTTAAAAAAATCACGTCAACTAATCAGATTGTCGAAGAAAATAATTATAAAAGATTGACGAGAAAGAAAGCATGAGTGAAAAGCTAAGGATATCTCAAAGAAAACCTTCAAAATTCTAAGAAAGAAATCCAAATATGTTGCTTTGTAAATGGTGTTCTTCTCTAATTTTGTTCAGTTTGCTCATTTTCGTTATTCATGGTTGTTGTGTCAACCTATTGGCAGGAAACAAACTTTAACAATTACGTCATACATTACCTATTTGACTCCTACACTAATGATCATGAGAAGATAATGAACTGTAGGATAATCTACTGTAATGTAGTTATTGACTTTCTTTAATAAATGATGAACACATTAGATGGAGTGAAATTCAAATAAGTGATAGCATATGTGAACTAAAGATCAAAGCTACTCGACTAAATGAGTGTATGACAACTTCTGAACGATCTAGAAAAGAAACATATGTGATCATTTAAACGAGCAGCTTATTGCTTCAAAAGAGAAAGGTCTAAAACCAAAAAAAATAACAATTTTACCTTTCCAGCCACTGATATGTTGCTTCATCCTTCAGCCTCTCTAATAAAAAGGGCTTCAACACCAGTAGAGTGTAACACAGGGAAAGTATTGAAAACCGTTTGAACTCGAAAGTACTATTTTCTGCTTTCTTGAGTTGCCTCAGTCCCTTTTTCTTTGTTGCTTCATGTTGCAAGCACTCTTCTATTGATCATCAAATTTATGTATACTTTTTTTTCCAGTTAACAATATTTTGTACAGACTTGTCATGTACAATGTTAAGTAAAGTAGGATACTAAAATTTGAAACATTAAATTCTTTCCATCTTGTTATCAAAAATTATATTTACATCAGTTATTGTCATTTCCTTAACTGAAAAAGTAGCCAAGGTTTACTAGAAATTGTGATCTTAGAGTTCAACTTAGTTGTGTGCATCTAATTGCAACAAGTTCTGTGCATATTATTATTTTTATTTGTTTTTTTTAAAAAAAAATCTATTTTTTATGTTTTCTCTAAGGTTATGGCACCTAGTAAGCAATGGATGGAACTTGTTGATAATCGACTTGATGAAGTCTATTTAGCCGGTGTGCAAAAGTTTTTAGATTATGCCTTTCAAAGAACAGGAGAAGAACATGAAATACGATGTCCATGTGTCAAATGTTTCAATACAATTCTAGGAACTCGAAAAATAGTTGAGACACATTTGCTAGTGTATGGTATAATTCGAAACCATACTTTTTGGTATCACCATGGAGAACGTTTGGGTGAGCCATTGACTGAATATGAAAATGGTGATGCAGTAGAAGAATGTGAGAGTGAGGATGAAGTAGAAGAATTGTTGAGAGATCTATATCCTAATCTTGACGGAGGAAGTACACACACAGATTGTGATGATTTACTTGAGGAGGAGCCAAATGTTGAAGCAAAAAAATTTTACAGCCTATTAAAGGATTTCGAGAAGCCGTTGTACAAAAATTCAAAAGCTTCAAAGCTTTCCTCTTTGATCAAATTGCTTCATATCAAAAGTATTGGTCGTTGGAGTAATGCGTCATTTACAATGTTATTGAAACTATTAAAAGATGAGTTGTTGCCTGATGAGGCTAATTTACCAAACTCATATTATGAGGCAAAAAAGATCATTCAAGAACTTGGGCTTTCTTATAAGAGGATTGATGCTTGTACTAATGATTGCATGTCATACTGGAAGGAGGATAGCTTACTCGATTCTTGTAAAATTTGTGGTGCATCGAGATGGAGAATTAATACACATAGTGGGGAAACAAAGAATAAGAAAGGTAAAAAGATAGCTTCAAAGAGCTTACGCTATTTTCCCTTAAAGCCTAGACTTCAGAGGTTGTTTATGTCTACAAAGACATCTACACTAATGACATGGCACAAGGATGAAAGAGTTGATGATGGAATAATGAGGCATCCAGCTGATTCAATGGCATGGAAGTCATTTGATAAACTTCATCCTTCATTTGCAGTTGACCCTCGTAATGTTCGACTTGGACTTGCTAGTGATGGATTTCAGCCTTTTCAAAATTCAAAAACCTCACATAGTATTTGGCCTGTTGTTCTTATTCCTTATAATTTACCACCTTGGTTGTGTATGAAACAAGAAAATTTCATTTTGTCGATGCTTATTCCTGGTCCAAATGGTCCTGGAGATGCAATTGATACATATCTCCAGCCTTTAATAGAGGAATTGAAGGAGTTGTGGGATGTTGGTATTGAGACCTATGATGCATCAACTAGAAAGAATTTTAAGTTGCATGCTTCTTTGTTATGGACCATCAATGACTTTCCAGCTTATGGAAACTTATCTGGATGGAGTACAAAAGGAAAACTGGCATGTCCATGTTGCAATAAGGACACAGCTTCAATTCGATTGACTAATTGTAAGAAGCAGTGTTTTATGGGTCATCGGCGTTACCTTCCTCTTAGTCATAAATGGAGAAATGAGACAAAGTCATTTGATGGTACACAAGAGAAAAGGCCCCCACCAAAAATCGAACTGTTGGAACAAATAGCAAACTGTTTTCGAGGCATTTGGGAAAAATTGTTCGTGATCGTAATATTTGTCCTTTGGGAGTATCATCATGGAATGATATTAAACAAGATAAGTTAAATCACATGTGGGCAGCCGTTGAGGTAACAAATTGCACCTGATTCACATTCTTTATTGTTATCTAATACATCTGTGTATTCTTGTCCATAGAGCAGTCGTTGAGGTAACAAATGTTTATGTGATTCAAACACATAGTTGTTTGTCGAATGATTTTCACATTTCACATGTGGTACTGGATTCAAGTATATGTGAATCACAATTGCTACTAAATGTTTTTTCTAAGAGATCAAAAAGAAAAAGTAGATGTAAGAGATATCTGCTACTGGAATTTTGATGTGCTACTGAAAAAACAAACGTGCTACTGAAATTTCTTTTCTATTGAAATATCTGCTTAGTCTACTAGAAGAAGAGATCTTTTTCATTTTATGATGCTTTCCTAATAGGTTTCCCTTGGTAATAATTCAACTCATGCTTCAATAATTGTAGCATAAATTTGAGGTTGTGGACATGAATGATCATCGTGATCATATCTTGGGATGGATGAATGAGTTATGGAACAAATGGAGAGGACACTTGCATGCAAAATATGTGAAGGATAAGCCTATCCATCAATCTCTTAGGACTATTCCAAGGGGAGTAGACAAAAAAGAATGGGAATGGTTAGTAAAGGAACATTTTGCTTCTGAAAGTTTCCAGGTATGCCTACTGATTAAATAGTATATTTTCCTCTTTTACCGCTTGATTTCCCTCTTTAACACCAAATATATCCAGTTGTTTGATCCATGTTACTGAAATAGTTGTCGTGCTTTGAATTGTTGCATCACCCGCTTGGTATAGCACTCCATGAGCCCCTCAATCTCAGGAGCTGACCACTTACTTCTCATTCTTGGTACAGTGTGTCATGAGGTTTTTTGTTCTCTTCTAATAGTTCCATTTTTATAATAGGCAGATTCTATTTGGACAGTTTCAGTATTTCTATACCATGTACCTTGCCACTTCTCAGTGCACTGCATTTCGTAATGTTAATAAATGTCTCGCTAATGAAAGAAATATATAGGATGATGGGATGTAGAATTTTTGTTTAACCATTGCGAGTGAAAATAGCATGTTAATAAATTAATAACATATTCCTCATTCACCAAACATGACAAACTAGAAAGAAGTAGGAATATATGTACATACCTGAGGAGCAGCTTCAAACACACAGAACTGCTTAGTAAGATTCTTGTCTAGCTCAAGAATTGCTGCAACATTTTCACATCTGCGATGTATTCAAATGAATACAAATTGTTTTATTCCAAAATAATTGAAACAAAAATACCTCTAACAAAAGAAAAGAGGAAGATGACATTAAAGGAAGAATAAATTACAAACTAACCGTGTGACTTAACTGATCTGTAACAGTAGTTCGAAGTAGACCAGACTGTAACTTTCTGATTATTGAACATCCATTTATATCCTTTCATTACTAACTGATGTGCATGGCATATGTAGTCCATGATGATGTCAGTGCTATTCTCAAGATTAGTATTGTTGTGAAGACATTTTAAGAAGTTGCTTCTTTTGAAAGAAAACATTCGTTGCTATTCTCAATATATTTCTCTGTTTGTATTAATAAGTGTTGTATATATCTGGGAGAATTTTGCCATCAGTTCCTGTGATCACTTATTGATGAGAGGATCAAAGTAGTAATGATAGCTTTGCTGCAGCAGTAACATTGAAGGAAAACTGAATTTCCATTATGATGGATTTCCAGGTGGACTTGACAGAGAAGTCAATACTCTTGTATATGGCCTACTCGAGTATATGTTGCACTAGTTTCTTTTGGAAAATCTTGTAGTTTCTTTCTTTTCAAACAAAATAAAAGCTACGAACTAAGACAAATTTTTATTTAGGCAAGAAGCAGCAGGAATGCAGCAAATCGAGCTAAGTTAAAGATGCTTCATCATATTGGTAGTAAGCCTATTCGAGAGATTATTTATCAAAAGGTACTAGCATAAAACTATTTCATGAATGAAATATTTATGAGGTTTGTGTTATTTGACATGTTTGACTTTGATGTAAAGGGCGGGAAAGATGGGAACCCACCAGATTTGGCGACTATTTTCTTTGAGACGCGTAAGAAAGATAACAAACTTGTTGAACCTGAAGCAATTGAAAAACATGTGCGTTTGATAAATTGAATATGTTTGTCACTTGAAATTGTTATGTGTTTTGATAGAAATTGTTTTTTTATATAATTTTTAGGCTCAACTCAAATAAATGGTTCAAGTCGATCCATCTCTACCTAGCATAGAGATTGTTGAAAAATGTTGTGGACCTCAAACTCGTAGCCATGTATTTGGATTTGGGGGTGGAGTAAAGGCGAAAGACTTGAAAGGTGGAACTTCTTCGAAGGCTGAATTATTGTCTGCGCTACGTTCAACTCGAGAGGATAACAAATGCTTGAATGAAGAAAATAAATCCTTGAATGTGGAAAACAAATCCTTGAACCATCGCTTGTCTACCTTGGAAGATGCAATGAAAGAAATAATGAAAATGAAGGAATTATTTGCTGCTCAACAATCACATGTCCAACCTACATCATCTCCTATTTCAACTGAATGACCTCTACTTTTTTCTAATGACCAAGTAAGCACCAAGATACCAGACTTTATAGTTTTTTTTGTTGATTTGCATATAGTCATTTTCTACTAGGACTAATTCTAGAAAAAAATGATGGTAACTAATATTTTCCAGCTAGAAGATAGTACATAGAATTGTTTGAATCCACCTTCATCTCTACTAGTTTCCTTGTTCTAATTGTCTATGATCTTAAATAGAACTAGCTAATACTCAATCAAACGAAAGTATAGATACTGCCCTTAGAAAGTAGAAACTGATCTCATGTCGGCTGGTTGTTATATGTTTTTCAGAATGTATGTACAGTTAAGTAGCTTGATGTTATGACGTACGGAAGATTCGATGTTGGATAGCTGACTTGTTTGTTTACTGCTGTCTGGGATTCTTCACGAGTGTTTTTGGCCATAGTTTGTAATTGTATGATATTGGTTTTTGAAGATGTGAAATTGGTATGATGTTTTAGATTCGCCAAAGCTGCTACTTTCGTTCTTTGTCTATTTTTGTGAAATACAGCTGTTCATATGTTTACGCAGCTGGAAAAAAAAGTTGCCAAAATCACACTTAGATCTGAGCTCAATTTCTGTTATTCTCTCTACAGTGCTTGGAGCTCATTTTTGATATGTCCTTATTCATATGAACGATCACTCGTCCAGAATTTTGCATTGGATTGTCATGGGCATAGCTCTTTTAGTTTTAGGAATTATTCTCCACTTCAGAGATGCTATTCCTTCAAATAAGCAATTATACACCTTCAATTATGTCTGTGTAACCTTAGGAGCAGCCGCGTTAGTGTACTGTGCTTTCTTCATTCTGGTTGGCATTTTGAACTGGAAGTACCTATTTCTACCACTAGAATGGATTGGTATGAATGCCATGCTTGTTAATGTGGGAACTCTCCTTTATGTCATCTTTGCTGATATATTGTTTTGGGCTATAGTTGCTGGCCTACTTCATCGATTAGGCATATATTGGAAGCTTTAGTTCTGATGAAATTGGCATCTTTTGCTTACTTATTATATAAGATTAGATGTAGCATTGTACTTGAAACTAGAAAGAGCTTCATCTAGTCATGGGTCTCACTTTTATTTCTCTTTGAGAACAAGTGACTAAGAAGTTCAACACATCTTGCACACCAAATGAACAATACATATACCACTGATTTTTCTAGCTTGTAAAAAAAAAAGAGATGCACAACTGATGATGGAAGACTTTCTTTCAAGCCAACGTTATTCGAGAGAACCCTATAATAAAGAAGCTCATACTGCTTACTTCATTAATTAAAATTTTCTGCACAACTGCACATAAGTGTCTTTTCTATTTGTTAATTTCTGCACTGCTGTATTTTTGGACAGCTACTTTATATGTTAAATTTTCTGCACACAAATAGTAATTGAATTCTTGGTAAATGCATCTCAATGATTTTCTAATTGATTTTTCTTATGTTCCGCAGCTTTTGTGGATATTTCTAGATAACACGTCGTGAAGTTTTAACAACTTTTGGGGTGAGCGATCTATCTAATTCTTGTATAAATTTGATATGTATACCAATAGTTATTTATCGTTTTTTAAAATTTTGAACTTGTAGATTTTGAAGGTTGAAGTTTCACGTCAAGATACAAGCTTAGAAGAAATGGACAAGCTTGTTATTAGTTTGCTACGAACGTTATGCAAAACTCGATAGTACATAGTCTAACCCGGATATTGGCTAAGTTTTTTGAAGAATATATTGAAACAAACATCATGGGATGTTGACCAATTTCTGATTAATTGAACTCTTAATCTCTATGTACTTGTTTCTACCTCCCTATATCTTCTTTTTTTAATCGAAAGTTTTAGTAGAAATTTAGTATTTATTGAAGAATTTTTTTTATTGTGACATCAATTGATCTAGGACCATTGATGGCCAATCTAGGACCAGAAATATCTCATCTCTAAAGAATAATCTAGGACTAGAAGTGTTTCTTGTCTCTAAAGAATAATCTACGACTAGAAATAAATCTCGTCTTTATAAAGAATCAAGGACCAGATTATTCTTGTCTCTAAACATACTCAAGGACCAGGTCATCCTCATCTCTAAAACTATTCAACGACCATGACAATATCGTCGCAAAAGCTAATCATGGACCAGGTTGTTCCCGTCTCTAACGATTACTAAGACCAGGTGTTCATGGTCGCTAATAAAATTTAAGACCTGAAAATAGAATTTCCCAAGTCTATTTGAGACTAGATATGTAGTCTCTAAAAAGATTTAACGACTATATTTTTTCCCGTCTCAACTACCATATAAGGACCAATATTTTGTTTTTGTCGCGGAAGATCTATAGCGACGAAGGCGGTTGCGACGGGTGGCGACCAACATTTTCTGGTCTCAAATTTGCATTTGGGACCGAATTTAGATCTTCAGGGACCAGATTTCCCTTCCTTAGAGGCTGGTTTTCTTGTAGTGTTTATCTCGTAATCCCTATGTGATGCTTTTAAGGATATGGCACCACAAAGATCATATGTTAGAAGGAACACTAGGTCTAAACAATTTATGAGAAATCGATGAACTGGCTAAATTATAAGGACCTAATGGATGAAAGAAACCCATTAGTGAAATTGCACATACCTGGTGATGAAGACTACAGAGAAATCCTTTGAATTTTGAAGTTGAACTTGAAGAAAACCTCTTCTTGTTCTTGGGAGAAACTGTCACCTCTTTCTAACCTTTTCTTTCAAAGTTAGATGATTTTAGGAAATGAGAGTTCTAGGTTGTTTCAGACTAGATTATTAGGCATAGACTGAGTAGAAAGACCTAGTTCACACATCAAATGATGTAGTTTAGGAGCCCAACTCATAAAGGAAAAGACCAAAGTGACCACGACTTAAAAGTTGGCAAACCTCTTTCACGGGCCCATTCACGGACCGTGTGAAGCACCACGGGCAGTAAGGTCAACTGTGGTTCCTCATAGAAGTTGGGATGGTACTGGGTCATTTTTCATGGGTCACTTAATTGTAACACCCCAAAAATTTCTAACTTAGGACTCGAACCATTCTTCATTATGAATAAGATTATATTAGGTGATTCTTAAATTGCCCATATGTGTAGAAGTCAATTCTTTAGTGATGGAATGAATTTGGATATGAATTAAGGTCACTACGATCCCTTAGCACAAAGTTGAGTTGAAAATTTCCATATCAATTAAGTTTTGATGTAAGATTCTAATTGGGTCAGCTTCAAATTAAACGACCATATCTCCTAGAATTTAAAGAGTTACGTGGCTCATAACCTATCAAATTAAACATATCTGAATCTTCTTTCTAACGCCACCAATCAAATTAAAGGTATATGAATATTTTTACTAACGCCACCAATTTCACAACAATTTGAGTTATGAGCAACAAGACATGTCCATTTTAGTAACCTCATATAGTGCAGTGACGAATTAGCCGATGGAAAAATATTTAAAAAGGTCATTTTGTCTTTTTACGTCTAAGAAAACCCAAACAAATTTCTTGACTAATTAGAAACCTAAAACAATCATATTTTCATATCATAATCCATCATTCTCTTGTCTCTCAACCCTAAGGCAAAACCTTAAGGAAAAATCATAGTAGAAGACTCCATTCAAGATACTTTCAATCTTTTTCAAGATTCTTCTTTCCAACTCTAATTCCTCCATACAATTACGAATCACTAATGAAAATCACAATTCTTGGCCATAGAGATTTCAAGAAAATAATTCAAGAATCTCAAGAAATATTTTCGAGATTGTTCTCCTTCAAGCTAGGGTTTAAAGGCTTCTAATCAAGTTCTTCTTCAAGATTCTTCAAGAACCTTGCTCTTCTAGGTATGTGATGAGTCTGGGATTTCGACACATTTAGGGCTTAATATTCATAATTTTGATGTCCTCATTGCCTATCTGAAGCTCTAAACTGATGTTTAAGTGCTAATTTAGAGCTATAAAGGCAAAAGAGTAAGGCACGGACATTACCGGGCAAAACGGAGCAGAAAACTTGAAAAGGTTGAAGACAAGAAAAGCTGGTGATTGCCAAAACCACTCAGTGACACTGAGTTGTACTAAAGTGTTTGTCACTCGGCAAAGAACGTCAGATCTAGCTTATTATTCTATGTTGGCTTGAGAAAGATGTTTTGGAATTAAAGTTATCAATTGATGATTGTAGTGATTGGGTTTTTATGGATTCATCTTGAGAAAGTGAATCTTAATTCGATCCTACCAATCTAGCTCAAGAGAGTAGATTGATTGAGGTTTTGGGTTGTTCATAATTGTTATTGTTGTCGAGGTTTGAGAGAACTCGCTTGAGTCATAATAATTGATCGAGAGATGCCTGTTACATCTAAAGCCTAGCCTACCCACTAAGATTCAACGGTTTTCAGTAAATAGTAATCATCCATATAACGAAATTCGACATTAATCCATCACATCTCCAAGGATCCCTCTCTACTTGATTACTCCCCTGTTTTCGTAGTTGTTAGTTGTCAAATTCAATCCCCCCATTTGACACTAGTTGTCGAACCCTTCAATTTACTTTAATTGTTTCGATAAATTCTATTCCTACA